CTTACGAAGTTTTCGTTTCAACGTTTACATGCTAACGTTAGCGATGCTAGCACCTGCTAGAACACCGGCTAACGGCTATTAGCGGAAAAAAAAAAGCAGCCGTTGGAAACTCTCCACCTACCTCCTTCAAAAGTAGTGTTCTTTGACTGCTGGACAAAACAAGCAAAAAATAGACTTAAGAGGACCAATTCTGCTCTTAATGCGGCTCTATGTTCAGCAGTGACATCCATTCATTCCTCGCTCACACATGTGGCGTTGTTTTCAGAGGAAGTTGAATCGATGAAACCGGAAGATAACCCGATGTACAAAGCAGCAACAATCAGTAAAAACCTCTTTTGCCGAAAACCTGCAGATTCATAAGTTTATTTTGTGCAGTTGGTTTGCGAATTTGCAAATTTCGCCTTTGGCAAATATTTTTTTTTACCATCTGTACGATTATTTCCTGAACATTAAATAGGATAATTGTAAAAAATAATAATAATAATACAACAACAACAACAACAAAAACAGTTATCACCAGTAAGTTAAACTAGTGGATGTAAGATTGTAGTTTTACCGTAGTAGGAGAAAAAAGAAATATATGCTACTATGTATTCATTTGCACTTTAAATTGCATTCTGTTTTTTAAAGGTGCTGATAATTTGTCTAAAACTAAAAACCAGAAAGCTGAACGTGTAATAAGTAATTTAATGCACTGCTGCAAAAATGCAATAAAGACCACAAAAAACAGAAATGGGAGTGAAATACCAGCGAACAAAAGGAATCCTCGCTGGAGCGCGTCCAATTGAATGAATGGACTACAAATACTGACCAATGGGAGCGAAGGATCGTCTGCTATAAATCACCATCTCAAGTCTTTAGTCCGGTTGGAGAGCTGCTGGGACGCTGCTGGTGGCTTGTGAGCTCCTCGGTCAGGAAAAATAGGGATCTTTGTATCAAGCCCTGGTGGCAGTAGTAATAGTAATAATCCGCAAATTCGACAACAGGTAAGATTTTCGCTCAGTTTAATTTAGAATTAGGTCGCACCGGCAAAATCTCTT